ATCGCCACGAGCTTAGGTCGTCAATGGTCACAGCTTACATCATCCTAATTGCATAAGTAATGTGGGCATTACCCAGTATGAGCCATGCCTTTAGGAGTGGCGTGGAAGGTAAGAACAGCAAGAAGTTCCGAATCTTCCTCCATGCTCACAGTTAGTCGTAAGCACGGTCGGTGTCACGGCGATATCCTACAGGGTGTCTCAAAAGTTCGCTTACAGGTGCCAGCCATGCTTTTTTGTCAATAATTCTGAATCAACATGAAATTAACAGTCGAAATTTTGCATGGGCATTGGTAACAACCTTCCTCAAGCAGCTTCATTGTTTTCAAGCGCATTCGACCCTTCATGAGCACACAAAAAGGGTTCACCTCTGACCATGGATCAGGCATGAAAATGGAGGTCGCATACTCGGGTCGGCTGAGAAACTCTGCTTCACGAGTAATGGGAATGGTTAGGTCGGAAATGACACATGGCAAAGTGTCGGCGAGGATGAGTACAACATGATGGTCATCAAATAAAAACGGTGGCTAAAATTTTTGAAGGACAAAACCATGCGAGACTAACAGCGCTTTGAACGACCCTTGTACCGCAGCAGACTCGTGCTCCGGAAAGCAGCTGAAAATGCAGTCCTAACTATTGAAAACTGACTAGAAGCTAACAGACAGAGGTTACCCAGTTTCAAAAATTGCAGGTCATCATAAAATAAAGACAAAGTATCATTTAAAATTGTTTATAATATCTATAACGCTAAATTTTGAGGGAAAATAATGCGAAAATCGTCAATGCCGAGGACAAGTGACCCTCCAAAAGTGTCAATTAATGTAAAGTTTTATCTAACGAAGTTTCAAGAGGCAGATCTGGAGCAAATAGCTTTCTTTTACACACAAAATCCGGACAAAACCGCACGTTGGACAGGTTTTGGCCGTTTACAAAGCAGAACCTCTCCTGAGGAAAACACTCCGGAACCCAGCGAAGGTCTTGGCATTGGGAATGATGAGTGTTCGGGATTTGCAAATTTTGCAAAATGTGTCTAAGAAACAGATGGCCGACACATTCTGCTACGATATGCTGCGAAAAATTTGCCCCTGGCACTTCCCATTTGTTCAGGAATGGGGTTGTTTTGAAAAGGAAAATGGTGCTTGGGAGGTCGGCGCCAGTCATTCATGAAGGAGTTAGCGCCAGAGAAGACCTACAAAATACTCACGGATGGTGTCGATGCAAGCTATCGGCTTTCAGGGAGAAGCGGATGTTGCCGGGGAGCTCGTTAAACCTAAATCCGACGCAGAAACTGCGGGGGATTCCCCTACAAGAGCTTGAAAGCTGGTAACCTTTTATCAGCCTCCGGCAGCTGACGGAGTGACGAAAATCGGTATGGGCAAATATTTTTGGAGATACAGCAAAGGGTTTGGTTTCCAACCTTCCGAATCAGTTGTCAAAGCATGCATATTTGTCTAGTGTACACACGGACACCAAAACCTTAGATTTTTGGCCGGTTCTTATATGCTTTATTGACATGGGAAATGTGTAAGCGAACTTTTGAGACACCCTGTAGGAATGCGGTGTCGCCAGTGCATCACGCCCGACGCCGAGCCCTCCGGTACGGTGAGCCCAATCCGCCGGTGCGGCGCCACCCACCGCCCACCTCTTACCGCAGAGCTGTCAGTCGCGGCCGGCCGGACGGCTCTCACAGGATACAGACGCCATCCAGGCAGGCTTTCGCTGGCTCTGCCCCCGAGCTGGCGCGGGTCCCCGAACTGATCCGGCTCCGTGTGACCACCACCGGGTCCAGGGGCGGATCCAGAAAATCTCCAAGGGAGGTGCCATTAGAAACCAGGGGGCCCCCCCCATAATCCCACCTGTTGGAGGCCCCATCTTCCCACTTGTTGGGCCCCCCCCCCCAAAAAAAACTGCGTCTATTGAGCTTATCTAGCTGTTCAGGCAACATCTCAACATCTGTGCAGGCTTGGAGGCCCTCTTTGCAGGTTAGGAGGCCCCGTAAAAGTGGTCATCTCTGTGAGTATAAGAGACCTCCAAGTTATGAAAAGCTTTACCAATCTTCTAACAAAGAAGTCTTCTCAGCTAGTCTTCTAAGAAATAACTAAGTGGGTAGGTTAAAAAAAACTCATCGGATTTCGGCCACTTTATTTTCAGGAGGCCCCCTTTTCAGCTTTTTAACTTTTTAACTTTTTATTTTATTTTTGAAAAAATCGGCCAAGGGGGGGGGGCCATGGCCCCCATGGCCCCCCCCCTTGTATCCGCGCCTGACCGGGTCAGCCCCGGAGGAAGTCAGACTGCGGGCTTGGGTTGATTCTGGCTTGGACTCATCCCGAGCCGAACCCGAGTTGCTGAGCTGGATCCGACTCGACTGCAATTATTGATGTTTTTTTCATATTGCAAATTAGGTCTCTCGCATCCAAAGGGGCGAAGGCGCTATCAGTTTTGAATGATTAAAATAAGTTTTGTTTTAACTTCTCTATGGTTTGCTTGTCACTCGGTACAAGTACAAGACCATACCTGGGACGGTATGGTAATGGTAATATAATCGGTATGGTCCATCGGTACTTCAAATATGGACCAAAATACGAGTAAGGACTAAGCAGCGTACCACACAGCCAACAGGTGGATCGTGTAACGACCGCGCTCGGCCGCGCTGGCGGGACAGGGCGGGGTGCGCTGTGTGTACCCCGTGCACTGTGCAGCTGCACGGTGTAGATCGGCCGATTGCCTGCAGCTGACAGGCATCGGTCCCCTTTGAGCGGGACAGAACGGTCGCAGCGGGGACACCGGAAACTCACTCCCCTCCAGGACCTGTCCTCCCTACGGCCTACAGTATTTCCGCCCGGGTCGAATAAGTCCGCTCCCAGCAGGAGATAACGTTTGCTCGCCGTAGACAAGCCCACAGTCGCACCGACAGGGACAAGGTTGAGAGGACGTCGCTGCGTAGCGCATCAGACGTCGCCACGCAGGAACACATCCTCGTCGCACGTTCCTGCATTGAAGACCATTTTCTTTGCGACAATCTCCATGCATGTAAAAAGGTGAAGATGGCTATGTCGAATAATTTGACTGGGTGACTGCAATGTAGAATGATAAAGCAGATGACTGTCGGGCCAAGTACGCGCCTTTTTGGTCAGTCAGACGAGTTAAATGCCAGCTGTGTGTACTGTGTATGGACCCACAACAAATTCAGCCGGTGGCGTCCCCCTGTCTGTCGTGGCCGGCGGCGGTGAGGTCAGCCGGTCCCCGTTCCCGCAGTTCCCAGGACACGGACACGGCACCGACCGTACACACGGCCCGGGCCGCGGGGTCGCCGCCGCCGGTATGTCTGGTATTGGGGTCAGTCGGCGGCGCCGTACCGGCTGCAGCTGGCCGGACGATCAATGGGGCGCACTCACCGGTCCTCGGCGCCGTCCCAGTACGCAGCACCGCCGCCGGCCGATCGGCGTCACTTCGCTCGGAGTCGGGGTAGGACACCTCACACGGTCCGCCGCCGCCGCCGCCCAGCACCCGTCTGCCGACACCGTCCGCCCGGAGCCACGAGCGGCTGCGGCGCGGCCGGCGGCGGCTGCTGCAGCTCGCAGCGCCAGACCTCCCCCTCCCCCTCCCCGACACGCTCAACACCGCAGCTCCAGCGGCGGGCGGGCGGCGGTGGACGGACGGGGCCAATGGACTGTCTATGATGAGCCGTGGAAAAAACGAACATCCTAGTCTGGGCCATCAATTTTGGCGGTTGCGAGTTGGCCCTCTTTTCCGGCTTCGGCGCGGCTGCATCTGCCCAGTGCCACTTACCAATACCTATACTATACCTATATAGGACCTAGGGGATCTGGGGTCAATTCGCCAACTTTCCGGTTCCTCTAATCAATGCTCGGGGCTGGACACACACATCCTTTTTAAAAAATCCAGAACCCCGTGCTTCGGGCTGAACGGTCATCACATCATCCGACGCCGCAACTCATAGCTCGTCCGGGTCAGGTTCAGGCGCGGTGGGGTGACCGTTTGCCTGCAAAAATTGCAATGAAACCTAAGAAACATAGGTAGGTACAGCCCTCTGCAGACTGCGTGGTAGGTATTCTTTTTTCGACAAAACCGAGAATAACTCAAAGACTAAGTTATCGGTCGGTCGGATCTCATTGCATAAAGATGCGCCATGCTCCACTCCTTTGATTGGTTCTATCACTGAACGAATTATACAACTAGTGTAGCAACAAAATGCAAAAGTTTGTTTTGGGGGCAGATATAAACTTTCTTGTATTGTTGCCAAACTAGCTGGAAAATGTATACCAAAATAAGCCCAATCTAAGGTGCGGAGTAGAGATGCCACTTTTGGACCCGCGAACCCGCTTTCTGCGGGTTTTCAAAACCCGCAGGGTTTTTGGCGGGTTCGAGAAGCAAAACTTGTCGTGTGGCGGGTATTTGGCGGTCAGACTTTAGAACCTATAATTTTTTTTTTTTTATGCAAAACAGCAATTTCAAGTCCTTACTATTTGTTTGGCTCTTTTTCTGCACAGCAATGAAGCAAGTAAGGTTTATATAGCTCTAGCATTGACCCAGCTGCATTTTTTTTCTTGCAAAAGCAGGTTTTTAAAATTGCGGGTTTTTTGCGGGTTCAGCTCAGCCAAAATCAGCTTGCGGGTAGTTGTGGTTGGGCAAGGGGTAGCTGCGGGGCGGGGCGGGTAATGAAATTGCAAATTTGTGGCATCTCTAGTGCGGAGCCTCGCACGTCTTGCTGTTACGTTTTCCGAGTGGCCAATAGCATAGTATTCGCGTTATTCCCGGTTTTGTCGAAAAAAGAATACCTACCACGCAGTTTGCAGAGGGCTGTACATACGTATAATAAAATGACAGCCAAATAAATCCTGAAGCTTTTATTTATCTGAGGGTCCACTCTAAAAAAAAATATCCCTACATGAACCCAAAGATCATTCTCCCCAAATAAATAAAAAGAGGGGTTCTCGGTCTTTATGTCTATGGGTTCTCGACTTTCATCAGCTGATAGACATATTGGAACGAGAAGTATTACGAATTTCCTGACCCTTGAATTGGCAACAAATTACCAAGGTATTGAGTTTTTTTAAATTATATACCAAAAATGACGTTTTAAAAAATTAGCATTAAATTTTTTGTTTAAAAGCAGCTGACAAAAGCAACAAATCCCATTCGAAAATGAGATTATTTTTATCCAAGCAAACTGAAAAGTGACGCTAACATGAAAAATAACCAAAGATAAAATAAGCTTTAAATAGCATGGGCCAAAATGATTGGTTAGAACTATTGACGTCATCATTCTAGAAGCTTGTAGAATGACGAAATGTCACACCATTTTCCATGCGTGATTCTGTGAAGAGAAGAAGCTGGCGCGGATTTCCTCTCTTGCGAAGTAGGGTGCCGGTGTCTGGTTAAATTTTTTGGGCATATCTGTATTTTTCATTGATTGTATTCCTGACATGGTCTCTGCAGATATGTCGTCTTCGGAGTAAGTATATACCTAGTCTTTCAATTCTCGGAAGCAAAGGCTTAAAGAATTCGCTCAAAGACTGGCGATATTATTTGATATTTTTGACATGCTTCGCTATCATGTGAGCCAATCGATAAATTTTAGTAGTTTTCGTGTATTCTTGCTGTTTTTATTATTCCTTGTGCCCTGCTTGTAGTAGTCCTGGTTGACGGCAAATTAGCTGCCTGATTCGTAACTGACTCCGTGCCCGGATTTGAGAGGGAGACTGGTAGTGTCTGCGCCCAGCACACCAATTGAACTTTGTTGTTTGGTCAGGTGGTGCGCAGGAGCCTCATAAGTCATGACCCAGGAGGACTGTGTAGTGTGTCATCAGTTACTATGTTAGGTTCTAGCCATTGTTAAAGATTCAAATATGTTTTGGAGAGCTTTAGTTCATTTGTTTAAAATTTGACCCTAAGTGTATAGGTATATTGCTTTGAAAACAGCACAGGAATTGCTAGCTAAATTACCTACTGAGAAAACTGATTGTTGCATATTTGTATCACAGAAGGTCAACGGTCAAAAATTATTTTTACCTGACTGCTATTTCCAACACTTGCAGCTCATATTTGCATAGATATATTTACAACACCACAGGCCACAGGGATACGCAACTTGTCAACAGTTATAACTCGACTAATAAATAGATCGCACATCGTTTAACATAGCAGTACATTGTTGGAGTTCAAAACACATTTTGAAAATATTTTCCATATCTTCAATAAACAATGTGCACAAACCAGTTTCTAAGTAATTCAGCTAGCAATGCTCATCATGCTGTGTCCTTCAACCTACCAACCTACATCCTACCAACCTACAACCTACCACTTGGACTCAGTGGCGGATCCAGGATTTTCACTGGGGAGGGGCTGCAGGTCATAATTGGGCACCACGCCCCGGATGGGCGCCATAGTCGCATCGTATTGGCGCTGAAATATTGGCGCCCAGTGGCCCTGACAAGAGGCGCCCAGGATCAGTATGTACAGTGACCCCACACGATTGGAAATATCGGTGCGGAACGTACTGAAACGACGTTATTCGACTGATTTTTGCATCCTAGTCCTAGTATGCGGCACTCCGATGAGTTGCGAATTGAAAATTGGCGCCACTGCGCCTTCGGCGCAGTGGCGCCAGTTTTCCTTGGGTGGGGGCTGCCAGCCCCCGCAGCCCCCCCTGGATCCGCCACTGCTTGGACTTCATCTTCACAAATTAAAAAAGAAAACTATAGTGAAGGTGATGCAGTCAGGCTTTGTGTGTATGGTGTGGTGCTATGCAATAAGCTCTGCCTGAAAGGCAACTTATTCCTTAACCAACAATTGAAGCATTGGACTACAATGTGCATGTAAATGAATGCAGCCCAATCTAAGATACATCCTAATCTAAGATATTTATAGACTGGTCTTACAAAGTTAAAGGGACCCTCCCACCTTAACATTAGTTTTGAGTTGAGATAGCCAAGTTTGCGGCCAGGCTCAGAAACCACCATTTATCCTGGTCGCAACCCCCGCAGCTTTATGGTGTTCAAGAAATTTCTTCCCTTTACTTGCAGGGTGGGACCAGCGTGGTCCCTATCTCTTAACCATTACGGGAGTCTGATGACGTCATCAGGCTTTCGAACGTCCGTTAAATGTTTGACTAAAACGTTTTGTAGCACGCGGTGGTATATGCTGCTTTGCGCGCAACAAATGCCGCACTTTCAAATAAAGTCGCTAGGAACAGCGGAGATCCCAAAAAGTAAACAAAAGTAAAAGTCTAATATCTTGAAAACCGGTGAATATTTTTCGATGAAATTTGGTAGATATTCGTTTTTGCACTTTTTGAACCGAGCGACATCACTTTCATGCCAATTCATTAACTTTTTTGAAGGTGGGAGGGTCCCTTTAAACTAAGCTTCTCTCAAAGTAACAGTGATAGTTGGCAGGATTGCTTCAGAGTTGCAGACACATTGAAGTGTTTGGAATCAAAGTGAATATTGCTTCACTGCCTCTAGACATTTGTTGTTTGGTGTGGTTTGCAGCTGAGCTGTAAAAATGTGTTTACAAATATCTGAGCACTATGATTCTCATTTTCCAGTGCTCTTCACCCAGCCTGCACATGGGCCCAGCGAAATGATCTCATATTCCTCACAATACTGGTTGAGGATGTTAAAAACCCTGAAATCAAGGTAGAAGGAAACAAACTTCACTTCAAAGGCACCGGTGGACCTGACAAGAAAACCTATGCTGTCGATATGGAATTGTACAAAGAAATCAATCCTGAGGTAAGTCACATGTGAAATAGATCAGATTGTGTCATGAAAGTTATAAGTATGGTTCAGAGAAGTAATTTTTTCAAAGCAAATATGAATGGTCAGAAGTCAGAACTATGGCATTTATTCAAAAAGGAGATAAGCAACTGCTGCATTGTCCCATTTCATCATGCGTGCTATTTTCATTTTGCCCTGTGGATGTGTCCATTCGTTTCAACTATGGCATTTATTCAAAAAGGTGATGAGCAACTGCTGCATTGACCCATTTCATCATGAGTGCTATTTTTAATTTGCCCTGTGGACGTGTCCATTCGTTTCAACTATGGCATTTATTCAAAAAGGTGATCAGCAACTGCTGCATTGTCCCATTTCATCATGAGTGCTATTTTCATTTTGCCCTTTGGACGTGTCCATTCGTATCTCAGTGTCTGCCACGCGCTATGCTCACGGTTTGACCACTGCTGATCCTGACCGCCGACAGAAATCGAAGCAGCTCGTCTCTGGCCGGGGGATCGACTTTGTGCTAATCAAGGCCGAGGAGGGTCCCTACTGGCCGCGGCTGCTCAAAGACTCCAAGAAGTGCCACTGGCTCAAGGTGGACTTCAACAAGTGGAAGGACGAGGATGAGAGTGACGAGGAGGGCGCCGGTGCGCCCGGCGGCGGACCCGGCGGCGACATGGACATCGAGGCCGTAAGGACGGACACGACTGGCGTATCTGCCGACTACTGTCGCTTTTTTGAAACTGTTTGTCAGTAGTTTACCGGATATCTACGCTTAAATGATGAGCCACTATAAGAAAAGTCAACCGGTGTTTGATTATTTTAACTTTGTTCTGAACGACGCTAACTTAGTTGATTGGATCACTACTGAATATGATAACTTCCATATCTTTTTGTGACTTTGTTTGCAATATTTCAGTGTTGCCTGTATTTTTACCGCCGTGATTTCGCCCCATAGTGACCCTCTTGCCTTCTTTCACCTCCGGCAGATGATGAAGCAGATGGGCGGCCTCGGAGGCATGGGTGGCATGGGTGGTATGGGCGGAATGGGCGGCATGGGTGGTATGGGTGGTATGGACGGTATGGGCGCCAACGTGCCTCCGGGGATGGGCGACGACGACAAAGCAGAAGAGGAGGACTCTGACGACGGGGATCTGCCCGACCTGGAGGACTAGGAGGCCGTCAGCAAACGGCGACACGACTCTTCATCCACACCGGACGGTACGTCAGAGGGGCGGAATAGGTCTGGTCGGGTAGTTATAAATGGTGGTAGGCCCCGGGATGCCGTGGGCTGAGTCAGTGATCTGAAGTGACTGTTTACCCAGAGCTGGGTCCGGGGACGGGGAGGGTCTGGGGTGGCGGGACGCACCAGAACGGTCAGGGTCGGGCGGTGTGGTGCGGACTCTGGAGGGGGGGGGGGATTGTTTGGCGGTGATCTGTGTTGTAGTTCCCTCTGCTGTGACCAGGGACTGAGCTTTGGCTGGTTTGGGAAGGGTTACACAAGTCGTTTGTTTGTTTTTGATAGCTGATTGTTCATACAGAACCGGGCCTGGTTGGTCTCAAACGGCCGGCATCGGCGGTGCCCTGATATACCTATCTGTCTCGGATAACGTCCACATGCTAGTGTCTGTCAATCTGGTTTTCAGAGTCTGTCACTGGACCCTGTCCCCGCTTCCCAATCACACCATCCGCGCGGAGGCAGGTCGCCCGCCGCCCGTTCCACCCCTCCACTCCTTCCGTCTCCCCACCTCCGTCACACCCGAGTCATTGTCGTCGAATCTCTCCGTCGGCTACCCGGCTCCTCTATCGCGCCTGCTGATAAGATAGGAACTGGCTGTATAGACTGGCTGCTGATCAAAAGTCGAAGCCGTTAAACCGACTTCAGTCTGATTGTGATTTCATCGTGTGGGATGATTTCGAGGTGGTTGACGTGCTCATTTCATCTTCAACTTCAACGTATCATATAAGATATCATAAGACCAGAATGTTTTGGAGCGATTGTGCACAGCTGCAGTGTCCATTGTTCGCGTTTGCCTGCATTTCTCTCCTAATCGTGTAACTGTAACTTCCGTATGAAAAACTTTCCTCAGCTATCGCTGCTATATTTCATTGGCTCTTAGTGTTTGTACATTGTCCGTTTTCGTCATGTTTTTGACGCCAATTCGTATCTGCTGTCAAGATCGCCCGTTTTGCGATAAAGTACGTGGTGTTGTCAAGTTTTATACGGCTCATTCAGTCCCAGTTATGTGCCACAGTTGAATCAGCGTCCACGAGCCACTTGAAGGGTCTTCTAATCTAACCGATGTCTCCCTTTTTCTCCGGCAGCGCCAGCACTCCCCCATCATCACCCGCGCGCCGCCGCCGCCCCCGCCCGCAGGAGCAGACGCCGCGCCGCCGCCGCCCCCGCCCGGGGCTGGCGCCGCGCCGCCGCCCCCGCCCAGAGCAGCTGGCGCGCCCGTTCGCCGGCCGGCCGTCCGCGCCACCGTTCTGGGTGACCGCCTTGCGTCGGCAGCCAAGTGTTTCCTTTGTATTGAACTATGCCGTTCTGTGGTGCATGTGTTGATGGGTCGGTCCGTCCGCGGAACGCCAGGCAGTGCCGGCTGACCGCGGCCGGCGGACGTTTTAAATACAGCCATATGTATTGATTCAGGCGAGCGTGTTTGGTTGATGGGCTAATGGGATGTGTGGTAGGTTGCAATGAAGGAGATACTAGAGTGAGAACACTTGCGTCCTCGGTCTGAAATGACGCGACGAGAGGGAATTGATAGTCGAGTCGTAGATCTGACACGAACAGTGAATGTTCTTTTCAACTCTTTCCCCCGATTCCTCGTCTTTTGTGTAAGGTAAATGGAGAAGAAGGGGAGGGCTAGTGAGATGCTGCAGGCAAGAATTTTGAATCTTAGAGCCCGGGGACGGGTATCCGGTGTCCAGTACTCGCGCTGTCGCCGTGCACCCGGGTTGCGCTCTGCAACCCGCGCGACATCTGCCGAGTGACTCGTCTATCCCTCGTCTGTTCACGATGGGATAGGTGGCGGCATCGGCGGAACTACTTATGATCTCGAGTATGGTCCCGTCTCGGAGTACTAGGGCCCAGCATGGTTAGCTGCATTTATGGACTGTGCGACTCGGGACAATGTGTTGTGATGGAAAGAAAGCTTTCAGAACGACTTATGCCAAAATCGATATGAGGGAAGGGTAACTAGAAATAGGTACGGGACAATTGTACATACGTACCTAACCTGCTGCAATACCCGAGTCTGAACTGGATTTTAATACGCTCCATTAAAATGGAAGTTGGTCACAAATTTACTTCGCACTTTTCGGTATCACCATAGTATCACCAACAGTATCAGATTTGGCCGGTGATGGCGGAAGGTTGGGTATCGTCGGTTCGAAATAGCTTATTACTTTTAGGCGACAGACGACAAAGGTGTTCCATTGTGGTTCAATGCTACTTTTTTTGCATTTGGCGTGTTTCAATTGGGAATTTGTGCGTGTGATAACTTAAACAAATTAAAGCTAACCATTGCAACATCTGCCGTTTGCGGACTCCTTCTGGCCCGAAGTGTCCCATTTGACAGCCGAGGCAGTGCAAGCTCTCCCGGGTAGATCCAAGGGGACAGCCGAGGCAGTGCCAGCTCTCCCGGGTAGATCTAAAGGGCAGGTTGGACTGTGCCAGCTCTCCCGGGTGGATCCAAGGGGCAGGTGGGGCGGGTTACCGACCGCACCCGACCCCCTGCCTGGCGCACCCTCACCGACCTCCCACCACGAGAGACGGTCTTTCCAGCAACGGGACCGACCCGCCGTCTAAAATAAGCTCCCGCGTGCCGGATAACTGGCCCGGCGTTCCCACTCGTGCCCCTTGTTCAGAAGCGATGGGCGGTAGACATAGGTAATGCACGTTCGATGGATGCATTAGATGTAGCTGCTGGCTGCATGAAACAATGCCGTTTACTGAAACTAGCCACATTTCGCAATTGTTCTGGGGAAATGTGGGTAAAGCGTTCGATACGAATAGTGCTTGAATGGCTGCATAAATGTTATAAAGATTTGTTCAACGTTTATGGACCGATTGGATGGCTGAGGAATGGATATACTTTTTATCAGGGATGCGGAGCCGTGGAAATTGTAGACAGCTTCGGCTCCGGCTCCGGCTTTGGAGAAATAAAATCGGCTCCGGCTCCGGCTCTGGCTCCGGGTGAAATGTCATGGCGGCTCCGTCTCCGGCTCCGGCTCCGGGCAAAAATGTGCCGGCTCCGGCGGCTCCGGCTCCGGCTCCGCACCCCTGCCTTTTATACTTCCTAGATTTCATCCGAGACCACGAAGGTAATGAAGTTTGAATCCTCCCGTCCTGTTTCAGTATCACGAGCTCCGCTGACCGCTCGCTACCTTATCTCACCACTCCTAAATTTCTTCTCATCCCTTTCTGCCACATAGACTTCATGTCCGATCCCATTCAGTCCCATTGCAGTTTGCACCCTGTCCCGTTGTCCCATTTTGTCCCACCACTCCCCCTAGGGCCTTCCGTGTCGTCTCTTGCCCCACCACCCGTATGACCGATCCCATTCCGTTCCAGTTCCTCTCCCCTCCCCCCAGTCCGCCCCCGTCTCATTCCGTCCCACCACCCCCACTTCCCGTTCCGTTCCTACGGCCGTGCGGTGTGCCGGTTTTCGCCGGCATGTCCCGGTGCCCACATGTCGCGTCTGCGATCGACCATGTATGTATGTATGTATGTATGTATTGACGATCAAGAGCAATCCACAATCGGCGTGGCGATTACCCATCGACACACCTCACAACGTCGCTCGAGCGTTTGCCGAGGACTTGAGGCTTGAGCAGTGAGCACGCAATAGTTAGGTTTATGTTTTAGGGCCTTGGTTAGGTTCCGAAACGGCACCGCCCGGCGCCCGCACCTTCCGCCGCCCGCTACCGCCCACCGCCCGGCGCTTCCGTCGTCGCCCCGTGAGCAGGGTCGTCTCGCGCTACCGGCGACGGTCGGTCCTGGCCGCGCCGGTAGTCCGTTACTGAGACGGTTCATGCACCGACGCATAGTACTCCGGTGCGAATGGGGTGCCGATGGCTCCAGGGCGGTGGGTTAGGACGGCTAAGGTGTTATTTAGGTACGATGGGGTAATAAACTCCACGGAGATGGAGACGGTTTGAACGGTACAAGATTTACAACCGGTAACTCCTACGGAGACGGAACCTGCATTTTACATGCGCCGCTCTGAAGGGATGGTGACAGCTTCATTAGCTCTTGGAAGCATGTGCATTGTGCAATATGCTTTAGCTGTGGCTGCGAGTGCTTTTAAACTTTTAACTATTAATTAGACTAACTGTACCAACAAATTATACGGGTCTTTGTAGGTACTTTTTTACATGGTGACCTGACAACGCTGGGTCACTTTCGTAGCCTTCCGCCTTTACGAAAGGCGGAATATTGGGCTAGATATGTTTCAAGTAGGTAACGTCTTATTGAAATTGAGCTTTAGTATTAGTACTGAAGATACCTAAACGTAAGACCAACGGATTCCACTCAAGAATGCAACATCCAGAGAAGCGAGACTCTTAGGTAAGCATCCCAGCTCCCAGACCTCCCGTTCAATTCCAATCATCGGTTTAGTACCGACGCACCGGGCCCGGCCATAATCAGGCAGCTCTCCTCTGGCCCGCCGGAGATGTTCCTCGGGCCCGCGGCCGGCCGGACCGCTGCGCTGACCCCGGCAGATCACCGCCTGATCGGCAGGGCTCTCTGCCATGCAACACCGCTCGCCGGGTCGCCGGGTAGCGGGCCCGCTCGGCACGGCGCGGCGCGCCGCGGCGCGGCACCTCATTGGTGGACACGGTTCAGAGGCGCCAGCCATTGGTCCGTCGCCGGTACGGCCGCCTGACCGACTGACTGACACGGGCTGATCATAGACTGGCCTATCGTGTATGTATAGTGTTTGAAGCTCGCGATTCTCGGTGGTGAGCTCTGAGACGGTGCCGTATAGACAAACTCTTAATCGCGCAAAGTGTTTTGTGTCACAGACTGGAGCTATATCGATGCCGTAATCTCCTGAGTGCCAGGCTGTATACTGGCTTTTAAAAGCTGCATCAAATCGCTGTCTTATCCCCGGTGAAGACAGCTACTTCCGTGAACAGTGCGTCCGCCGTTCGCCGCTCGCTCGGTCCGGCACCGTCCATCTGCGCAACACTTTCCCCGACTGGTGCGTCGCGGTGGGAGGCAGCGGCGCGGAACTGCCGCACCGGAGGACTGGGACCCCACGCGGAGACACTCTGTTCTTAGCCGGGCGTCGGGAGAGAGGTGCCACCCCCCGGCCGCTGGCAGCCGCCCGCCGCCGCCGTTCGCGGGTGACGACTGTATTTCGGTGGCAGCGTGTGGGGCGGTAGCGGCGGATTCGGACCGGCCGCTCAGTGTGGGACGGGCGGTGAACGGGTGAGGAGGGCGGACGGACGGTGACGGTGGACTGTGTGGACGGACAGTGTGGACAGTGGACAGAGTCGTCAGTGGTGAGGACTGAGGAGAGACTCAGTCAGGAGTGTGAGGGACTCGGTCTGAGCGAGTGAGTGATGAGCCCCATTGGTTACTTTTATCAACTGACTGTAGCATTGAAGCGGTGATCAGTTTATTCAGACGTAATTCGACCCAGCTTCATAACCGTGGCTATATGTGAGTTCTGTAGGGACGTGTTAAAAACGGAGCGATCCGCACCATGGGCTCACTGAGGAAGATGTTCAAGACCCGCCTGCCGGCGCTGGCGACTCTGTGGTCGGCCAGCGGCGGACCTGGCAGTGCTGAAGAGGACGACGACCCTGGTGATGCCGCCGAGCTGCATTCTGTGACCACACACTCTCCGACCAGTGAGGGAGCCGAGCCGACCTACGGCAGGGCCGGCAAGCAGCCGGACATGACGTACGAGCTGATGCGAGAGTGTCCAGAGATCATTGAGGAGGTTGTAGAGAGGCGCTACAACACGGGCACCATAGTTCGTCCGCATCTTCGACACGGTCTTCGGCGTCTCTCTGTGCAGGATGTGTTTGAAGAAGGCAGCCTAGACGCAAGACACGCTGACGCTGAGTCTACAGAACTCGGTGGAGGAGTAGACACAGCAGGAGCGGGTAGTGATGAGGGCCGCGATCGCACCGGAGAGTCGACCAGCGACAGCGGCCTGTCCTCCGGAAAGGGCAGTGACGCCGGCGACACGTACGCCGTCCCCAAGAGCGAGACCTACGAGGTCCCCCGCGCCGCCGTGACCCAGCCTCCGGCAGAGGACCCCGGTAGTGGCTCCGAGGGCCGGCCGAACGGAGCAGAGACCGAGAACTGGTCCTGCGATAGTGTTGGTGAGCCATCCTCAGACAGTGACGGCGCAAACGGTGGAGCGGAGCTCGATGGGTGCTACGTGGAGTGCCTCCGGGACCCGCCCGATGAAAACGTCTATTTAGAGCCCAAGACGGTGGAGGAGATTGAACGAGACAGGCAGAATATGTTGAATGGAGGGACATCGCAGGTGGCTGAGGGCAACTCATCCTATTCAGGGGGTGTAGGACAGTCATTCTTTCTGCATCAGCCCGAGACGTCTGGAGGGGAGACCTATTCTGGTAGACTCAGCGCATTGCCGCACAAGGCACGCAGTCTTCAAAACCTCCAACAATGTTTCATCCAGGTCCATAACACCGAAGCACTAGCAGTCCCCAGCACAGACCGCAAAACGCACACAAGATCGAAACCGAATAAGAAACGAGACCGCTCTTCGAAGAGCCCTGTCGCAGCAATAAACCAATCAATCAACGATAATTTCGTACTAAGGCCGTCGAAGCAGTTCGAGACATATGGCCACGGTGTGCGCTCTTCACTATCGTTCCGTTCCTCGTTATACAGTACGACAGCTACGTGGGACGCCGACAGACAGCCCTGGGACGGTTACAGCGAGCTGACCTGTCCGCCGCCAGCGCCGGAGGACCGCGCTGAGGAGGAGCCCCTGCCCAGCTCGCGCGGCAGTACCCTGGAGCGGGGCTACGAGCGGCTGCCGCTGCGCCGCCACAGCACCGAGCTGCAGCCGTCAGAGCCGCTGTACGCCAACAGCGGAGAGCTGCAGCAGCTTCTGGTCCAGCAGCTACGTGAGCAGACACAGCCCGCCGAGCCGGCCGACCAGCCGGACGGGCCCGCCCCGGGGATGGCGCACATCGCACCGCGGGGAAAGAGACGGCGACGGGGGCGGATCACAGCGCCTGTGGACGCCGCCCAGGCTCTGGAAACGCACCCCGAGCACACAGAGACGCCCTCATCACCGGCTGAGGCTCTTCTTGCGCTCAGAACCAAGGACTCCAAGTTCGCGTGTGTTCGCATCAAGCCGGCCACCAGAGGTCGAGGCACGATGCGCAAATCGAGTTCTATGAACGACATCGGCCCGGTGCTGTTTACTCCGCCGCCGTCGACGCCGGCGCATCCTGCAGTCCACACTCGTCTGCCGTCAGCAGCTGAGAGCAGCGACCAGCAGCCTCTGGAGGAGGCACCCGCTGCTCCGGCCTCCCCTGTGTCAGCGGCGCCCCTGTGGCTGACCCTGGGCGCCCTCTGGGTGACCGTCTGCGGCTGGGCGGGCGCCGCCGGCCGCGCGCTGGGCAGGGCGACGGCGCCCCTCTCCGGCTGGCTGGGTGTCAAGTACATGAGTCTGCACCGGAACCACCCGTGGCTGCCAGACCTGGTGGACCAGCCGGACCTCGACTACTGGATACAGCGCACTAAACAGGTGAGCAGCCCGACGACTACTGTATACAGCGCACCAAACAGGTGAGCTCCGGACCATAACTGGATACAGCGCACCAAACAGGTGAGCTCCGGACCTTGACTACTGGATACAGCGCACCAAACAGGTGAGCTCCGGACCTCGACTACTGGATACAGCGTGCTAAACAGGTGAGCTGCGGACCACTACTTGATACAGCGCACCAAACAGGTGACCTCCGGACCTTGACTACTGGATACAGCGTGCTAAACAGGTGAGCTGCGGACCACTACTTGATACAGCGCACCAAACAGGTGACCTCCGGACCTTGACTACTGGATACAGCGTGCTAAACAGGTGAGCTGCGGACCACTACTTGATACAGCGCACCAAACAGGTGACCTCCGGACCTTGACTACTGGATACAGTGCACCAAACAGGTGAGCTCCGGGGCCGTGCCTCCACCGAAAACTGTCGCCGAAGATGCATATTATTATGCTTTTACGTACAAAGTGTATATCATTTAAAACCTACTTACGCAGTCGTTTAGAGGGTAATTGCAGGCCCTTGCAATTCAATAATATCACCGTAGTGGCTATAAGCTGCTGTTTAAAACTTATTATATGACTGACACGGGTGCATTGTGCTACCGGAGAATCATCAGGAGACTGGAATGGGGAAATCATTCTGCAGCAGTCACGGTTTCCGAAGGCTGTGAGAAAAGAGAAAAGCGCCGGTGCACAATAAACACAATTGCCGATGACAAACACGAAAGAACTTATCTTCATGAATGGTGATGAAACCTTTCAAACAAACCATGTGAAATATGTCCCTGTATCACCTTCCTAACGAGTCCGACGCCTGGAAGTCAGGGAACCGTGAAATCCCACAGCAGGGCCAATTTAATCCCCGTCAGCTCATCTGTTCCCCTCGACTTTCTCTGACGGATAGTCCTTTGTCGTGCCATCTTCAATCCTGAACAAACTGCGCCGTGGAAGTGAAAATATCCACGAGGTATCCCCGACGTCACAGCTAAGCCTAGCTCGGCTCTGTGTCTCAGTGCTCGGCTCTATTTCTCGGCGCCCGGCTGACCCGTATTCGGCCGTCGCGGCAGACGATAGCTCACGGAGCGTTCTCGATAGATCCCTCCACCAGCTGACGCCGCGCCGCTGTCGCCGCCGCCGCGCCGCCACCGTCGCCGATCTCGCCGCCGCCGGTGTGGGGAGGCGTATACGCCGCACTGACCGCGCCGTAACCGCCTCGTGCGCCAGATGGCGTCCCAATTAGTGCGCCGGTCGAAGTGAGTCGTGATGCGGTTGGTGTGCGTGCTCGCCGCTGGGTCGGAAAGCCGCCGGGATACGTGAGATCCGACCCGTACACCGGTCAGCGGTTTTGGACCGAAATACGCCACCGATAGTAGCTCAGGCTGTGGCTTAAACGTGCCAATAAAACACCTCTCAGAGATGAGATCGCTGACCTGAGGTCGGTCATCTCACACCTGCGCTCAGTAGGTCTAGATTTCACATTCGTGTGACGCAGCTACACGGATCTGTTGAGCCACTTTGGCCCTACCGATACAACAACACGCTTACCGGTCATTTGCACAATGCGTCAGCAACCAGGTTATCACTGGCTCCATCTTCTGGCAGTCACCACTTTATGGGAATGCTCGGTGTATCGGTTCTCAACGTGGCCACAGTTTTAGCTGCGTGTCGCGTGATAACAGCGACACCGAACTGCTCGTGCATACCCAAACATTGCTGGTGACATCAATGCATTGCATTCCTGCCGAGTCATTCAGCCATTGACTAGCCACAGCGGACCGAAATGGATTCGTGATTGTAGGCTGGAGACGGATTGTGTCGATGAGATAATGGCCACGAATTGGCTGGACAGTTGGATTTGGGAGCGTATTGTCAATTCTGGTCAACACTGGCACGGTAGTGAGGCACTGGTCGACGGGCCGCGTTTTGCGCCGCTCTCTGACCACTGACGCACAGTTCTGGAGCATCGTCACGCCTGTGGAGGTGGACAATCGGCCGGCCACAGTGGCCCACTGACCGCCAATGACTGCCGGACGGCGTGCCGCCAGCTCCCAGCCGAACTGAATTGTCACTGTCGGCAGTTCCCAGCCGGGGCTGTGTGGTCTCTGTATGTTTCTGGTCTGAATCAACTGTCATAGCCGTCCGATCACACTGGGTGACTGAACTGACAGACGGCAGAGGCTCCAGTCTAGCAAGACCGTGACAGTCGACTGTTCCCAAGGCCTTATATGTAACTGTTCCCATAAAGTGGAGCCCGAGGAATCACAGTCGGTCGTTTCAACTTGGCCTGAGCCGTCGCCTGTCACCACAGGCTGCTTCCACAGTCGGACCGACCTCAGCCTTCGCACTGTGCCGTTCATGAACTGTCATTTCTCTCGCTGCCACTCAGTATCAACTGTCATCACAGTCTGTTCCCATTCCCCACTGTCGCTCCCATCCCTCTCAGACTGAAGTATTACAGCCGGTTGTCGTCCGTTCACGACCGTCCGGCTGCCGATGTCACGGCGGCCAACTCACGACTCACGAATCACGAATCACGACTCACGCCGAGCCCGGGCGTATAATTCCCTCGAGAGAAAACGTGGCAAATAGCCAGGCAAGGTTCCCACGGAGTTACTTGTGTGTTCTCCTGATTGCAAAAGGAGAGAGCTTACTGATGTGCTTGAGTTAGCATGGACCCACCTGTTTCAGTGTTCAACCAGCTTGGCGCTTAAAGGTGGGAACTAATATTATTCGTAATTTGAACGTCCCTCTTCTTCAATCTTCATGTTGTTTTTGGTTGAAAACAAAACTGGGGTATACCATGGCTCTTAAGCATAAACGTTATCTTAACTAATAAACTGTATCTAAACGTTATTTGACATACCTTTAACTCTGAAAAAAACTGACAGTAGTTATAAAATGCTTAAATAAGACACAAACAATCAACATATTCCTATAGTGGACGGCTCCTATCCCGTCTTGTACCCCTCCTGTCCAATACCCGCCCAGCACCTCCATTGACCCGTGCAGCGGCATCCCGCGCCGACCAGCCGACTGGCCCAGCGACCCGGCCCGGCTGACACGCACCTGTCTGTGTAATCTCCATACCGGGTCGCGGCCAGCGCGGCATGTTTACGGCCCATTACCCCGTCCCATGCGGCCGGACGACCGCCGCGGCCGAGCGGGGTCAGCCAGTTTCCGTGCTGGTTATAGGTACACGGGCCATCCACTGCTGGAGCTCAGTGGAGCGTGAGGGATCGGCTGGGACCGGTGAGGAATGGGTATCATTAGTATAAGCCGCAAAGAAAGACGATTGTAAATGATCTGGAAAGAAACAGAGCTATAAGGTGTAAAAATGAATGTCATGTATAATAATCGGTTGGGCTAAAGTCAACTCAGTCACGAACAATAAAGTTGATCATGATCCTATTAGTTAACACATAAGCAAATGAAAATTGTTCCTGATATTTGACCTTGTCTCGTGATTTAAATTGGATTCTGCACTTTGCAGGGCTTTTTCACCTGGCGGTTGGGTATCAGATTCCCACTTAGGTATGTAGGTACTTCTCATATTTCCATCCAATCACCAATCTCCCATGAAGATATATGACTGGTCCACTTCGGGCGGCGGCTGCATGCATAATGCCGTGGCACCGCTAAAAGCAGCCACTTTTTTATCCGTGTCGTGTGCAATGATGCGTAAATAAATATGTGGAGACGTTTTATAGGTTTTGCTTTTCCGTTCCTGGGGCTTTGCATTTTTCGGCCGTGGCATGCCTAAATTTGATTTTAGCCTATCACGGTGAACATTGAACAGGTCAGCCCGTTAAGGTCAGTCTAGTCAGCCCACCGCACGTGCTCCGGAGGAGCTACTCAGTACTCACGTCGACTGATGGTCACCGCCTAATCTGAAACTGGGGTTTGTTTGTTGAAATATTTATACGTCGGGATGAAATACCAGAGGAATTTTAGTTCAGCTTGCTGCTTATCCAGACCTATGCATAGGTACCGCTGCTTATCCAGACCTATGCATAGGTACCGATGTCTATGATTAGTCGATCAGGGCCTCGGCATGCTAAAGTCAGTGACTTTAGAATGAAGCTGGGTCACGAATAGCTACCGATATGATATCGATGATAATTTTTCTGATGTCGCATCCGAGTCTACCAGATAACATGCGGAAATGTAGGTACCATCATGCCGTCGTTTAGGCAGCTGCACATTATATCTAATGTCGATTGTCGAGTGGTCAATAGGAAGTCAAATGGCTAGTCATCGTATATGATCGTTCGATGGACTACGTCGTTTGGGCCCGGCTGCTCCACTAGATGGCAGCTCCGCCTGTCCCTCGCCGGTCCAGAGTGGCGCCACCTGGGATGGAAACGCTCCGACCTCCTCCTGAATAGTACCGCATCTTCGCCGGTAGGTGGCGGGGCCGGCTTTATATTGGATGGTGCAGTCCCAGATCTGTCGCCGTTAAGGAGCCGGTGTATGATTATTGGCGCCTGGCACTGGAGCATCGTTCGCGTCACGACAGGCGTTACTTGGACCTAAATCAGAACTTGACGAGCTAATATTTAGCCGATGTGAACTGAGGCTCCTATGACGTCTCTCGTTACCAATCAATCCCCTCGTTCATATCATGCAATAGCAGTATGTCGTTTTGAATGGTCATGAACCCTTTTAACTACCAGGAAATTGATGAATGCATGAGCTAACATAGCGAGGCAGGCTCACATCCCTGGGACACGCCGCATGACACGCCCCCTCGCCGACTTCACGTGACCTCGACCTCGACCTCTTCCACCAGCCGTGACTCGGCGCTGTGTTAGCAGCTCTGAGCAGCCAGGGCCGACGGTTTCTGCACCTCATCGCCGGCTGTTTCATCCCTTCTCCGCAGGTGTATGTATATTAAAATCCAGCTATCCGCAGCGCTGCCGCTGTTCTGTGCCCTCTGGCTTTGGGACGAGGAAGACGTAGACATCGGCACCATATTCG